GGGATTCAGCCTTCTGATTCTCCTTGAATCAGACTAATTCTAAAGAACCAACATAAATGTATTGCAGATATTGTTAAAGTTCAATAATTTTATGTACACATTTTAGAATTAGTCTGATTCAAGGAGAATCAGAAGGCTGAATCTCGACTGACAGAGGAGGAGTTGGGGATGGAGGAGGGTAATTAGCTATTGAGCAATGCGAATAATACTGAGGGACCTTATATATGAATGCTTAGATAGGTGTCATATTCCCATAGGTAGATGAGGATCAGCTGAGAGTCAGCTGATGCGAGCTTGACTAACGTTACCTGCTAGAACTAACGCTATGCTTGATATATATATATATATATATAAGACAAAAAAAACTGAATTGTGTAGGAAACATTGGAGTTCTAGTCTATCGTTCAGAATTGTGGGAAAGTTGAAAGTCTCTTATGATCCTAAGGCTGCATTTATCTGACCAAAAATACAGTAAAAACATCAATATTGTGAAATATCATTACAATTTAAAGTAATACATTATAAAATGTAATTTATTCCTGTGATAGCAAAGCTGAATTTTCAGCATCATTACTCCAGTCTTCAGTCTCACATGATTCTTCAGAAATCATTCTAATATACTGATTTAGAGCTAAGGAAACATTTATTGATATTATCAATCTTATTATTATTATCTTATTATGAATAAAAAAAGTTGTGCTGCTTAATATTTTTGTGATATATTTTTTTCAGGATTCTTTGATGAAATGACTGTTCAAAAGAACAGCATTTATTTAAAATAGAAATCTTCTGTAACATTATAAACATTTTTGCTGTCACTTTTGATCAATTGAATGCATCTTTAATAAATTAATAGATTAATAAAAGTGTTAATTTCTTTTTCTTTTTTTTTTATAATGTTACTGATCCCAAACTTTTGAACGGTAGTGTGTGTGTGTGTCTGTGTTTGCACAGCAGGTTTTGATTAGTATGTTAGTATACTGCACACTGTCTCTCAGTAGACCGAACACCCATTCATCAGACTCAGACTGGTACCCGGAGCTGCACTTTCCAATATGTCTAAATACTCTTTAATCACAGTTGGCCTGAGACAGCAGTAAAAAAATAATATAATTTGCCTCTGCCTATAGGCTGTACTTATGCTATGAAATATGAGCAGTGAGCCCTTCATTCACTCGATCTGCTCTGTATGTGTGTGTATGTGTGTGAGTTTGTGTGAGCACCACGCTGATGGGCGTAAATGAGATTTGACTCCAACATAAAGCTAATGAACGGATAGTGATATAATGACGAGCCAGTTATTCAGCCATAATAAGGCTACTAACTGACTGTGTGTGTGTGTGTGTGTGTGTGTGTGCGTGTTTGTGTGACATATGAGCACGCGTAAATGAGATTTGACTCCAACATAAAGCTAATGAATGGATAGTGATATAATGACGAGCCAATTATTCAGCCCCCATAAGGCTTCTAACTGACTGTGTGTGTGTGTGTGTGTGTTTGGCCGGGTAGCATTAGCTGGCTCATAGCTCCTGTTGTCTCTTACCGTGGCTAATTTGATTAGCACTGCTCAGTGGTGGCGTGGGATGAATGGGGCCAAAACAAAAGAGCTGAGTTAACAGAGCAGCTTGTGATAACACTCACCCACATACACATATGTGCGCACACACATACTCGCTCTAGTTTAATAAGACTCACGGTTCATATCACCAACATACATTATAAGCCTCAGTGAGAACCAACATAACTCCTCTCTCACATCTGCCAAGTATCTACACCTCAGAGAGAGACAGGCAGACAGACAGATAGTGAGAGTATTGTTACTCCACTATTTCAAGCACATCCACCATATATAGTGGCCTAGCAAGTGTTTAGACCAGGGGTGCCCAAACTCGGTCCTGGAGGGCCGGTGTCCTGAAGAGTAGGGCTGGGTATCGTTCAAAAATTTTCGATATCGATACCGATACCGATACCTTGACTTCGATACCGGTTCCTGAACGATACACGTCAAGACATTGTTCAGATAATTTATTTCAAGACATTTGACATGTTTCCTCCTGAAATCTTGTGTGGGTTGAACTAATTTTTTTAAGCACCTCATTGGTCTCAAACTCAATTCCTGGAGGGCCACATCTCTGCACAGTTTAGCTCCAACCCTAATCAAGCACACCTGATCCAGCTAATCAAGCTCTTCAGGATCACTAGAAACTTCCAAGCAGGTGTGATTTGGAGCTAGTTGGATCTAAACTCTGCAGAGCTGTGGCCCTCCAGGAATTGAGTTTGAGACCACTGGTTTAGACACTTCATTTGTCATTGAATTGGGCTTATGTTTTGTACTGTACTATAAATGTGTGATTGCTCTGAACTGTGACCTTTCTTGCATCTCAGGTGGTCTTACGGAGTGTTGTTGTGGGAGATTTTCACACTGGGCGGCTCACCATACCCAGGTATCCCAGTGGAGGAGCTCTTTAAACTGCTGAAGGAGGGTCATCGGATGGACAAACCTGCCAACTGCACTCATGAACTGTACGCTTTTGATTTACTTTGCCTTTCATCTAGGAACTCTTAAAACCTTTTTTGTTCATCTCTTAAAATAATGCTGTAGAGTAGGGCCGAACAATTAAAAAAAAATATGGCTTAGTGCGAAAAAATAAATAAAACTTCATGGTTTAATGTATGGTATTATATATATATATATATATATGTTATTAAAAGTAATTACGAGTTCTACAAGAACGTGACTGCTTTTTAAAAGTCGGAATCTCATAATTAGAACAATTCTGATATGACGTGGATGCACCTATTACCCATCAATATAATTTTTTTTTTTTTTATTTCTGGCACATATTAAATGTATGTATTGTTTTGTGTTGTGATTTGTGCAGGTACATGATTATGCGGGAGTGTTGGCATGCTGTTCCTTCACAAAGACCCACGTTCAGACAGCTGGTGGAGGATCACGACAGGGTTCTTTCCATGACCTCCACTGACGTAAGAGCTCTCGTGCATCCAACCAAACACCTTAACCTTTATTATCCAGAACTTGCCAATTCTGATGTGTGTGTTTGTGTGCATTTGATCCATCAGGAGTATCTGGACCTGTCGGTGTCGTTCGAGCAGTACTCCCCTACCTGCCCAGACTCCAACAGCACCTGTTCCTCCGGCGACGACTCTGTGTTTGCTCACGACCCCTTACCTGACGAACCCTGCCTCCCTAAACATCACCTCCACAGCAATGGGGTCATACGAACATAAGGACCCAGGACAGAAATGGTGGTTTGTGGGGACCTTCCGGTTCACTGCACTGGACCAGCATGTGGCGGCAGTGCAGACGGGCTCCTGGTACAGTGTGGATCTCATGAAATGCTCAACGAGAGGCTTCAGACTTCCAACTGTTCTCTGGTCTGAAGGACGGATTTCGCCCCTCTCCTTCAGCTCCTTTTCTTCCAAATTATTATTCAGATTTTTGTCTTTGAAAAGAGAATTCCTATTTTTGTATTTGGCCAGTTTCGTTTTTCCTTTGCGCGACACAGTCAGAAGGGTCAAACCATTCCGTGCCTACCAAAAAACAGACAAATTGCTGGACAGGAAACAGAAAGAATGAATTGACACTGTGTAACAGCACAGTTCTGAAGCAACAGATAGAGTCGTCCTGTCACACATGGACAGGAAGTGTTTTTTTTCAGCAATATCTGACTGGAGTGAGAATCAAACCCATGGCCAGTCTCTCCTCTCCACTGAAAAATAAAAATTTTTAATCCTTTTATTAATAAGAAAAGAGATAAGGTTCTCCTAGATGTGAGATTTAATTAGAAGATATATAACTGTGTGCTTTGTATGTATCTTAAAGTTTTTATTGTAAATATATAGATATAAATATGTATCATATTGCAGTCGGTAGCAGTGTACTTAAAAAAAAAAAAAAAGAAAAGAAAGAATGACTTTTTTAGAGCAAGTGAGCATACACTGTTGAGATCATGTAAACATTTAATCTTAAAAAAGCAAAACAAAAGTTTTATTTGAATTAACATGTATATTTGTAAAGCTATTTATAGACGCAAGGTTTTTAAGGGGTCTAAAATTATAGTTGGGTTTTGGTACTGTAAACAAAGGGTTTTTTCTTTTCAATTTTGTAAGTTATTTACCACAGAAGTGCAAGATTTCAACCGGTGGGTTGTATTTTATTTTTGCTTGTTTTCTTCCATTTCTTAATTTACAGTGACAAGAATGTATGAGAAACTAATTGGCGATAGCAGCAGAGCAAAATGATGAAATTATGAATTCTAAACACGAAATAAGTACACCAGAAATTGCTTTGCCCGTATCTCAGTATTGAATTTAATGATAAAGGGACCACAAGTGCTTCTGATCTTCATGAGGAAACTGCACCAGTGTCTATTTTTAACTCCAGTCAGACTCACACTTAAAGCACTTTTCATCGTTTTTGTATATTTAAAAAAAAAATCTCCATATTTGGGCTTCCATGCATGAGTCATAAGCAAATCTGTTCACTACAGTATTTCAAAAAACAGTGTTGGTTTTCTCTGATTATGAGCGCTGTGGTCTTTTCATCCAGCTCTATGATATGAAGGAGTGCTATGTGGGTAAAACCTACCAAAGCATATAGATATATGGTGAAACCATACTATGAGTTTGTCACTCTTATTTGCTCTTTTGCTAATGAATATGTATAATAACAATTTGAGGTAATCCTCTGGGTCGGTATGTTTGCAAAGTGCCAAAATCTTTCTCTCTGCTCTGAGTTTTATGTTAATGATTACAGAACCGTTATTGCTGTTCAACTCTAGTGTGCATGGTTGTCAGATGAGTGTCTCTGGCCCTGCGAATCTAAGCAAAGCATTATGGGATAGCTTGGTCGTGTCTCAGGGTGTCCTCAGACAATTGCATTCAAGCAGAAAGCCGGCAATAATATATAATGGGGGAAAAAAGAGGATGATTCGCTTGCTGCTAAACTACGAAAACTGTAGATTTGATAGGAGATGACTGTACAGGTGCCGAGTGAAGCAGTCGCTCCCTCCTCCTGCAAACCATTGAATTTTTGTACTTGTCAAGTGCCTGGGAGGGAGCTGAGTGGCTGAATATTGCAACATACGGTTTGAATGTACGGCCACATCAATAAAAGATATAAGCAGGGTGTTTCTTCGAATGAGAAAGTAAATATGCGTAAGGCACTTTGTTACCTTGATTCTCAGATTGGGTTCTTAAAGATACGGATGACGTTGTTCTGTGATTTCTTCTTCCAGCTGAGGGACATCATGTTCTGTTGGATACAGTGTTTTGAGTGATTGTCCATTACGTGTGGAGTTGTTCGTTTACTGTTTGGTGTAGGATGGCAGGGCAAGCGATCACTCTCAGCTTCATATTTTGTACAACCTGTAACCTCTGGCTCACCTCAGCATCCTCCGCTCTACTACTGACAACCCTTTTGCATTGTTTCAAACATATCAAACTATGTTGCTGGTCCTTTCCTCTCCTTGTCACAAATCCACGTTATTTATTTCCTTGTATTTATGTTTCGTTTTTTTTTTTTTTCTTTACCCGTTTGCTTTCATGACCTTCTCTTATTCAAAAGGACAGCATTCCTTCATGCTTGTGAGTTTTGGGATGGAGGTAGAGCCGAGATGCGTTTAGGGGTTGAAGAAAGTTTTCTTAAATGTTTACAATGAACATCCAGACAGTTTGAAAGGACAATGTGTTTCCCCAGCACTTTTAAAGTGGCTGGATGATGAGCAATACTGGTCTGATGTCAACACTCTTTAGTTTTACACATTTGTTCTTTTCCTCTTAAGCTCTATTTGATAGTGCCATTCAGCTCTTATTAGAATTAAGATATTAAATTAAGTTATAGATTTAAATTTGCAAATGATTGTTATATGTCGAGTAGATTTTATATAGGTGTTTTTGTTTTGTTTTAATAGGGATGAAAGCTTCTTTACAGTATTTTCTTACAGAAGAATTGCATTGCATTCCAGGTAGAATATCTTTCTTTATGCGGTGAGGTAACACGTTTGCAGAATTAAAGTCGTTCAGCATCTGCATCCCTCTCTGTTTAACAAAAGAATGGAATAGTTGACTAACAGTGTTTTATGTTATTTTTCCATATCTCTGTATCTGTGGAACATTCCGTTCTGTTTCAGTTGTGCCCCTTCCGAGCTGTTAAACTTCTTTACACTCTATCAGCCTGTGCCTGACGGAATTATGCTGTCAATCAAAACCTTTTCAATAAACACAACAAAACCAGTGCTCGCCTGTCACGTTCTTTTTAAATCAATACAGGCCACACTCAGTATTTCAGTGTTATTATGCCAATAATTATCAAGGGTGGGAGAGAATTTTAATTCTAAATTTCTAATGCAGTACCATGCAAAGCATGCTGGGAACTACAGACCCACTGCTCAGTACATTATGTCAACAAAAATGATTCATGAAGTCCCAAAACAAAATGATCAAGTTCACTTCCATTTTACAAATTTAAGTGGATTTAACATAATATTAATTAGTGACAAAATGTTCAAGAATTGTTTTGCTTCTATATATTTTAACAGTGTAAACTGAACAAACAGCAAAAACATTTTTTTTTAGCGTTCTCCAGTGGCACGTTTTGTGTCAGTGTCTGTGATCTCATGCACACATCATGGATAAACTACAACAGGTAAACGTGTCAGCAGTGACACACTTCAGCGTGACCAGAAATGATGCTAGCAATATGTAAGATGTGTTCATATCGAGAGGAGTCTTTACTACGACTGAAAAAAAACCCCGTTCAGTTACCATATTACCCAAATTCAATTACCAAACCTTTACTTTCAGTTTTCAGCCAAATTTAAAACTTTAATTTAGGTTATGGCCAAAAAAGCATAATTTTGATACATCATTATAGATAATGTGCAGCCATTCAGTCACTAATGCAAAATGAACCCTGACAGCGTGATCAGGAAGACCTTATGAGTTAGCTCAAAGAAACAATATTTCGCAACTATGCAACTATGGATTATGTAACAATATTAAAATAATAAATCATTATTACTTTATTGACTATTAGCCAAATTTGTGTTCATCTTACTAGTTTCCTTGCTTTTCTGAGACATTTTCATCCTTGCTATATATTGAGAGAGAGAGAGAGATAAAGTGGTGATGTCCTCCAAGGCCAGTTTATTAGTCAGTGGTCAATCTTAGTCATAAGATAACACCAATTAACTATTTTAACATGCACTCTCTCTTTTCAAACTTACCAAAGCAGAATAGCTAATTGGTGCCATTAGCAACTTAAGCTTTATTGACAGCATTACGAGTCTTACCAAACCAACAATGCCATCACAAATGCTGTCAATAGAGCCTAAGTTGCTAATGGCACCAATTAGCTATTCTAACTGACATTGGTATGAAAAGAGAAATGGCACAAAATCATACAAACTACATGAAAGTAGCACTGTGATGCTAGGGTGCATGACTCAGCAACTGAAAATTCATACATGGGACTATATTTAATTACTTTAATTATACTGCAATAAAACAGCAAGTAACTAATATTAAACATGACATTTTAAAGCACAAAGACTGAAATAGTATTTTCTTGTAAAACCTAATCCAATACCATTTGTTTTATAATGTATACTGTATCATTTTGTGTTTGTTTAACATAATGTGTGTGTGAGTGTGTGTGTGTGTGTGTGTGTGTGTGTGTGTGTGTGTTATTCAAAGCAATA